CCCCCCCCGGGCCCCCCCGAGGGTCCACCCCCCCTCCCCGGGGCGGGGCCCCCCCAGACCCACCGGTCTGCCAGGAGGGGGTGCGGAACTGGGAGAGGAGGGAGGAGGCCGAGGGGCCGGGCTGGGGCCCCCGCGACTCCAGCGCCGAGATGAGGTTCATCACCGAGGCGTCGGGGGCCGCGCCCCCCGCGTGGTGCAGCCCCGTCTCGAAGAGCCCCGACAGCCCTGCGGGCACGGGACAGCTTGGGGACATCGTGGGGACAACGAGGGGACAGCAAGGGGACAGCAAGGGGACACGGGGACATGGGGACATCGTGGGGGCACCAAGGGGACAACGAGGGGACAGCAAGGGGACACGGGGACAGCTTGGGGACATCGTGGGGACACCACGGGGACAACAAGGGGACACGGGGACATCAAGGGGACACCACGGGGACACGGGGACAGCTTGGGGACATCACAGGGACACCACGGGGACAACAAGGGGACACGGGGACAACAAGGGGACAACAAGGGGACAACAAGGGGACATGGGGACACCAAGGGGACAACACGGGGACACCAAGGGGACACCAAGGGGACACGGGGACACCACGGGGACACCACGGGGAGACCATGGGGAGAACAAGGGGACACGGGGACACCAAGGGGACAACAAGGGGACACGGGGACACCTTGGGGACACCACAGGGACACGGGGACACCACGGGGACACCACGGGGACACCAAGGGGACACCAAGGGGACATGGGGACACCAAAGGGACAACACGGGGACATGGGGACACCTTGGGGACACCCCGGGGACAACAAGGGGACACCAAGGGGACACAGGGACAGCTTGGGGACACCATGGGGACATCATGGGGACACCAAGGGGACATGGGGACATCTTGGGGACACCCCGGGGACACCACGGGGACATGGGGACACCAAGGGGACACCAAGGGGACACAGGGACACCACGAGGACACCAAGGGGACACCACGGGGACACCATGGGGACACCAAGGGGACACCCCAGCTGGGACACCAAGGGGACATGGGGACACCTTGGGGACACCACGGGGACATGGGGACACCCCGGGGAGACCTCGGGGACACGGGGACGCCTTGGGGACATCATGGAGACACGGGGACACCAAGGGGACACAGGGACATGGGGACACCTTGGGGAGACCTTGGGGACAGCACAGGGACACCAAGGGGACACCAAGGGGACATGGGGACACCATGGGGACACCAAGGGGACACCAAGGGGAGACCTCGGGGACATGGGGACACCTTGGGGACACCACAGGGACATGGGGACACCAAGGGGACACGGGGACACCTTGGGGACACCACGGGGACACCACGGGGACATGGGGACACCCCGGGGAGACCTTGGGGACATGGGGACAGCTTGGGGACATCATGGAGACACGGGGACACCAAGGGGACACCAAGGGGAGACCTTGGGGACACCTTGGGGACACCTTGGGGACACCATGGGGACACCACGGGGACATGGGGACACCATGGCTGTGACCCCCCCCAGTACAGGAGACACCTTGAGGACACCTCAGGGACACCTTAGAGACACCTTGGGGACACCTCGGAGACAGCTCAGGAACACC